GCACTGAACGCATTGGTGAAAAACAAGGCTCCAGGAATTGAGGGAATACCGACTGAGATGTTTCAATGAACGGATGCAGCACTGGAAGCACTCGCTGGTCTATGCAAAGAAATTTGGAAGACAGCTACCTGGCCAACCAGCTGGAAGAGATCCATATTTGTACCCACTCCAAAGAAAGGAGATCCAACAGAATGCAGAAATTATTGAAGAATACCATTAATATCACACACTAGTAAAATTTTGCTGAAGATTATTCAAAAGTGGTTACAGCAGTACATCGATAGGGAACTGCCAGAAATGCAAGCTGGATTCAGGAGAGGATATGGAATGAGGGATATCATTGCTTATGTCAGATGGATCATGGCTGAAAGCAGAGACTACCAGAAAGATGTTTACCTATGTTTATTGACTATGCAGAGGCATTCGACTGTGTGGATCATAACAAATTATGGATAACATTGTGAAGAATGGGAATTCCAGAACACTTAAGTTTGCTCATGAGGAACCTGTACTTAGACCAAGAGGCAGTCATTTGAACAGAACAAGGGGATACTGCATGGTTTAAAGTCAAGAAAGGTATGAGTCAGGGTTGTATCCTTTCATCATACCTGTTCAATCTGTATGCTGAGCAAATAATCCCAGAAGCTGGACCATATGAAGAAGAACAGGGTATCAGGATCGGAGGAATACTCATTAACGACCTGTGTTATGCAGATGACACAACCTTGCTTGCTGAAAGTGAAGAGGACTTGAAGCACTTACTGATGAAGATCAAAGACTACAGCCTTCAGTACGGATTATACCTCAACATAAAGAAAACAAAAATCCTCACAACTGGACCAATAAGCAACATCATGATAAATGGAGAAAATACTGAAGTCATCAAGGATTTCATTTTACTTGGATCCACAACCAACGCCCATGGAAGCAGCAGTCAAGAAATCAAACGACGTATTGCATTGGGCAAATCTGCTGCAAAAAACCTCTTTAAAGTGTTAAAAAGCAAAGATGTCACTTTGAGGACTAAGGTGTGCCTGGCCCAAGCCATGGTGTTTTCAGTCACCTCATATGCATGCAAAAGCCGGACAATGAATAAGGAAGACCGAAGAATTGATGCCTTTGAATTATGGTGTTGGCAAAAAATATTGAATATACTATGGACTGCCAAAAGAACAAACAAATCTGTCTTGGAAGAAGTACGGCCAGAATGCTCCTTATGATGGCTAGACTTTGTCTCACGTACTTTGGCCATGTTATCAGGAGGGACCAGTCTCTGGAGAAGGACATCATGCTTGGTAAAGTAGAGGGTCAGCGAAAGACTGGAAAGCCTCAACAAGATGGACTGACACAGTGGTTGCAACAGTGGGCTCAAATATCGCAATGACTGCGAGGATACTGCAGGACCAGGCAGTGTTTTGTTCTGTTGTACACAGGGTCACTATGAGTCAGAATGGACTTAATGGCACCCAGCAACAATAACAACAAGGCATTTCAAAAGGCAAAAGAGAACTAATTTCTTTCCCTTTTATTATTCTCTTGGTGAGCAGTTTTGCCTCCTCCTTATCACAACCTTTTATCCACCCAGTAAATAACAAAGCTCTTTAGCAATTTTATAATTGAACCCATCAGTTCTTGGCTAACCATTCTTTTTTCCCCCTAGGCTTGTCCTATGCTTCCCTTTTCCTGTTCTGGAACTGCTAGTTTTACTTTAAGACAAAATGACCCCTTTTCCTTAAATAAAACACATTTCATAATATCTAGCTTAAGTTATTTAGAAAGATTTTGCTTTCAAGGTCGACATAAACATAAAAACCTTTGTCAGAACTAATTCATTTCCATTAATTACTGGGAATATTGGGACTATTTTATTTATATAAGCCCTATTTATCATTAATCCAATCAGAGTAAGTTCTTTGAATAAATATTATAATCTAATTTTAATAATACCATCTGGAGGTAGGAGATTATTACTTTTTCATAACCCTATCTTTTGCATGCTTTATAGGATCCTTTAGAAAAGAAATCTGAGAATAATTTGTCCCTTTTGAAGGTCTTGTTATACCAATCAAAATAAACAACTATCCTTTCAGTGTACCTTTTAAATAGATCAATTTATATCAGAGTTTCTCCAAGTAGCTACTAAGAGTTCAAATCGTAAGGCAGATGCAAAAAGCAGTTTTTCTTGGAAGATTAAAAAATGAGGTCTTCATGAAAAATGGTAATTGCCAGCGATGGTCTCTAACCTGATGCAAGACAGAAATTCAGACACTACTCTTTAGACCAGAGGGAAACTCTTAGAATAAAATGAGACAGAAAATCACATAGCTCAAAGACCAGGATTACACAACGCCATGTAACATAAACAACTGAGTTTTCTTAAAATGTATATGGCAGTTCTTTGGTAGGATTAACCCAATTCAACAAAAATCCAGGTACTAGATAGAGCTGATTAACTTGTCAGAGCCGCAGATGGAGGGATCTCAGGCCCTCTGACAACCCTGAGTACCGAACAAAATGTTCCCTGAAAGAGGAAAGGAAAGACAACACAAATGTGAACCATTTTCCTAAAATAGAAGGAAAAGAGTGGATGGAAACTCATTTTCTCAAGGGGATCACAGAAATTCTAAATTACTCCAAATAGGAAATAAATGTGTTTGAACATGAACCCCAAACCAGCATCTAATTTATCAAAGATGTTAAGAATAGGTTGAATCTTTGGTCTCCTAGAGTCAAATAAAATTCCGAGCAGAGTTGGGAGCAGCTTCCCAGTCCAGTCTGTGGCATTAGATTAGTTCAGATAATTCAGGATGAAGTTCACTTAGGAATATGGAGTTGAAAGCTGTATCAGCTCCAGGCTGTTAGATTTACGCCTGAGCATTCAGCAAAACGTTTGCTCAAGCAGTCCCTGTAATTATCCTTTTCTTGTTTACAACCTTGCACTTCGGCCCAGTCTGTTTTCCTAGGAAAAATATTTGGAATACAGTCCATGAGTAATTTAACAGTGGCTTTGGTTTGGTCTAATAATTCTATACCAGAAACATTGGGTCTTATAGTTAAAAGATCTTTCTGGATTATTCTAATTGGCCTCCTCCATATCCACCTTTGAGCTTCCCCTGGTACTATCAACATATTTATTAATTGACACAGATCTGATGGGCCAGGTTCATAAGTTTCTATTAAAATCCTAGATTCCTGGCTGAATTTTTGGGTATATTCATGAGGATTAGGAGAGTCCTTTACAATTGCACGAAGTTCTGCTTTAGACCAAGGGGAAAATGTAACCTGGGTATGTTTATTTGCTTCTTCTAGATACCTTATCTTAAAAGGTATCTCAGGGACTAGAACAGAAACTGGTTTCTCTAATGGTTTTTTAGTAGGTTCTGTAGAGTAGAAAGGGACTTCAGAAAAGGTATTAGCCGGCTAGTGGAGGACAAGAAGGGATAGGGCTGGGAGAAATAGGGGCAGGCCCCTGACACTGCATTTCTTTAATTTGCCTAGCCTATTTGGAAGCTTTTAGGTACTGATTAAAATAGGCTTCTCACTGTACTTGTTTTATTTGGGAGCCTTTGGCCTCTAATTTACTGCAAGGAAAAGTCAGTTTACCTAGGACAAATGAGCCCTATAACAGCCATTGATTTCCTAAGTCACCCCTCATAAGTTCATGCCAGCAATCAAGATACAAAACTGAACCAGGGCTATCTTTGGAGCTGGCATTCCCCATCTTACCGAGTAGCTTGCAAGTATTAAAACCTTAAAGGTGCACTTAAGCCTTATGTGTTCCTAGAGAAAACAAAAATTGAGTTCTAAAGTCTTATCAGGATTATCTGCTAGATGGCAGACTGAAATCATCAGAATGTTCAGAACACGAACAGGAAATGAAAGCAAAAAACAGAAAACTGACAATCTCCCGAAGAGCCGTCTATCCAACAAAGCGGAAGCTCGAGATTCAATCGGGCTTAACCTTCACAAACTGAGATTTCGTGGAGATGGATTGAGCACAGGGGCTTGAGCTGGCACTGGAGCTCCAGTCCTGGACAATCTCGGGGTTCACTGAAGATAAGGTGCCTTCAGAGTCCTGCTGGCTACGCCAAAATGTTGTAGAGCGAACCTCTGAGACTGCTAAAGTCAAACAGAGATGGAAAGCATGTAAGAAACATCCGAATGGGGTACGTTAGCACACACAGAGTGAAGACCAGTGGATCCAAGGGGTGGCCGCTTTGCAGGGATAGTTACAGGGCAGAATCAGGAACCTCCCAGCAAGATTCTGATTGGTTGGACTTTCCTGAGCTCGCTCAGGCTTCCCCTGGCTTGCCTAGACGTAGCCACATTGCCTGATGGTTCCACCCAGCCAGAGGCCCAAGACCATATGGATATGAACGGGAAGAAGTCAAAGTTACATTCTCAGGAATGCAGAAGCAGGAGCTTGTAACAAAATGGAGTCGGGCCTACTCCTAGGCCAGCAACCCTAACTATGCCAGGCACCCCTGTTCTGAAGCTCTTATTTAGTGGCTTTAATAAACAAATTTATTTTCCCACAGTTAGGAGGCTAGAAGTCTGAATTCAGGGCACTGGCTCCAGGGGAAGTCTTTATCTCTCTGTCAGCTCTGGGGGAAGGTCCTTATTCCTTGGCTCCTTGGTGATACTCATGTAGCATGGTGTCTATCTTCTCCTATCTCTGCTTGCTCCTCTGTCCTAATCTGTGCTTTTTATATCTCAAAGGTGATTGGCTTAAAAAACACCCCACACTGATATGGCCTCTTTAACGTAACAGAGAAAACCCATTCCCAGATGGGATCATAATCACAGGTATAGGGATTAGGATTTACAACACATACTTTTTGGGGACATAATTCAATCTGTAACAGTATGATAAAGCACCCACGGCCTGACCAGGGGTTTGACAAGGTGATGCGTGCCGTGCATCCAGACCAGTGGTGGGTGGCTGCAGATGGTGCCACAGATGCCCCTGGCCTTTGGAAGACCCCCTGTGTTTCCTGCAGAGGTCATGCAGAACTTCTCCAGCCGGCCCGAAGTCCAGCTCAAGGCCATCAAGAGGCTCCTGATAATGTCTGAGGATGAGCTAGGTAGAGACCGCCATGCCCCTTCTCCAGCTCCTCCCCCAGGCAGACCCTGCAGCCAGGCCTTTGGGGTTCTCTCTTAGTCAGGGCTTTGCATATACCTCTGAAGCCTGCTTCCATTCCCGTAAGATCCCATGTTGTCACGACCAGCTTGAAAGGCAGGCATCTGTAATTCTCCCTGTGCCACCTCTTATACCTAGCAGAACAGACTAGGGTGTTGGGTGGTGTCCACCCATTTCGTTTCCAGGGGTCTCCCTTGACATGGTTTTAATGGATGCACCTATTCCACAATCTCCCTGTGGATGGATAGCTGTTTCGGATTTCCCACGATGACAAGCCAACACTGTAACGATCGGCCTAGTGCGTGTGTATCTGTGCAGTTGTGAGAGTGTTCCCATAGGATAAGTTTCTAGATATTCAGGGGGATAAATACATCACATTTTCATAGATACTGCAGATTTCCCTCCGTAGATACACATCACCCACTGGCCAAGAGAGCACACGAGCACCTCTTTCCCCAACACACTCCATCAATGAATGTTGTCTTTTTAAATTTTGCAAAATCATGTATTCATAAAATCTTTCCACTAAGTCTCTCTCATCAGCTAGAGTATTAATTTACTCAGTCACCCATTCACCCACCCACCCATCCAACTTTCATTCATCCGTCTGTCCACCCACCCGTTCATCCACCTATCTGTACATCCATTTATCCAATTATCCGTCTCTTCACCCACCTGTTATTCACCTACCTGTCCATCTATTCACCAATCCATCCATCTGTCCCTCCACCCATTCAACCATCCATCCATCCTTCCATCCATCCACCCATTCATCCACCTACCTGTTCTCCCACTCACCCATCCGTCCATCCAACTATCTATTCATCTGTCCTTCCACCCACCCATTATCCACCTACCTGTCCATCTATTCACTTGTCATCCATCCATCCATCCATCCATCCAGATCACCCACCCACCTGCTCATCCACCTACCTGTTCATCTACTCACCCATCCAACCATCTCCGACTACCCATCCACCTTTCCATCTCTCTGTCCATTCATCCATCTACCTGTGCATCCATGAAACATATACTGCTGTGGGCAGGGTCTGTCCCAGTGGCCCTCTCGTGGGACAGCAGAAGCCTCATCTGGGCCATTTGTCTTTTCCTCCCTCCTTGCCTTCCCCTGGATCCCTTCTAGAGCCAAACTCTGGCCAGGATGGAGTCCATGAGAAGGGCAATGGAGCCTTTCTGGGAAAGCTGAGGGAGGTGGTTGGATCCCTTCCCACCCGCCCCAGAACCAGGCCTGCCTCAGACAGCCTAGTGTGGGATGTGTTTGCTGTGGCTCAGCTCTGTAGGTCCAGTGCTTTTGCTTCTCTCGTTCTCACCACAGCCCTGCGATGTAGGGACCATGATGCCCACTTTGCAGAGGAGGAAACTGAGGCGAGGGGAGCAGCAGTGGCACAGGTAGAGCTGGGACCGGACCTGGGCTGCGTGTTCCCTGCTGTCACCTGCTGCTCTGCACACTGCTCAGTTCTCAGCACAGAGGACTGGGTGGAAGCCCAGGTCTCCGCATCAGTGTGGCTACTGCCAGGGCTGCACAGCCAGACAGGCCTGGTTCACATTGCTGCTCAAGAGCAAGTGCTCTCACCTCTGACCCTCAGTCTTCTCATCTGTACAATGGGGATAGTAACAGGAGGGACCTGCCTCGTGAATTGTGGGAAGCATCAGATAAGATGCCTCCAGTAGACGCCCAGCAAGCACCCAATAAGTGCTTTTCTTGGCCCTTGAAATTGTCCACTGGGTCCCGTGCTTGATGCCCTGTAGGTTCCCAGCAGCCTCTGGGCTCCTCCGCCCACTCCTGGTCGGTCTGCCAAGTCTGGCCTGTGTGCCCTACCTGCCAGGTCTGCCGTGGCCGATGGAGCTGGTGGAGCTGGTGATTGGGGTCCTGAAGCAGCATGACCGGGTCCTGGCCATGCAGCTGTGCGGCTGCTCCCTGCTGCTGCGTGTTCTCAGCCAAGGTGGGCATTGGGCTGCTCACATGACTCATCCCCAGCCCTGACCCTGGGCCTATGCCCAGCCCTGCCCCTCTGACCTGTCTCAGGATGATGGAGAGAGTAGGGTGCAGTCTGAGGTTGGGGGACCTGCCGTGCAGCCTGGGAAAGGCCCCACCCTCTCACTGGTGTCCCCCATGAACCAAGGAGCTGGACACATGGGGCCACGGAGTCCTCTAGGGTCACCCTCACAGAGGGGTGGCTTGGAGGAGGAGGGGGTGGCTGAGGGGGCAGGGTGGTGGCCTGTGGGGACAGCTTTGAGCCTGCTGCCCCAGGAGCAGCAGGGGCTGAGAGTTGAATGACCCACTGTCTTTGGATTGTTAGAAAATGTCTTGCCATCTTTGACGCGAAGCCAAAAGGACTTATTTCCCTTTCTGATGTTAGTATTTAAGCTTTAATTCCCAGGCACTGCTTTGAACTAAACGTGCTGAATGCTTGTGTTAGAGCCTGCCGCCTGGGTGGGCGGGCCTTACTCTGTCAGCCTGTCCGCACTGGTGGAGACCGCTCTACACCCGGTGCACCCAGGGTCAGGGTGGACCTCGGCCCCCCCACCCAGTGGGGACACAGCCTGCCTGGAGGGAGGATGCTGAGCACATTCGGCTGCTGGGGCTGACCGCGCTGGGGCTGACCCTGCTTCCTTGTGGGCCATGCTGGGGCCGACCGGGCCTGCTACCCCAGGGCCGTGCCAGGCTGACCGACCCTGCTTCCCCACGGCCGCGCCGGGCTGACCGACCCTGCTACCCCACGGCCGCGCCGGGCTGACCGACCCTGCTTCCCCACGGCCGCGCCGGGCTGACCGACCCTGCTACCCCACGGCCGCGCCGGGCTGACCGACCCTGCTTCCCCACGGCCGCGCCGGGCTGACCGACCCTGCTACCCCACGGCCGCGCCGGGCTGACCGACCCTGCTACCCCACGGCTGTGCTGGGGCCGACCGACCCTGATTCCCTGTGGCCGACCCACCCTGCTTCCCCGCGGCTGTGCTTGGCTGACCGCCCCTGCTTCCCCACGGCCGCACTGGGCTGACCGACCCTGCTTCCCCATGGCTGTGCTGGGTCTGACTGACCCTACTTCCCTGTGGCCGCACAGCGCTGGCACAGGATGCAGATGCTCAGGTGCCCTGCAGCAACGCCGTGGTCGCCAGCCTGCTGGGCATCATGCAGTGCCACCCCGACTCAGAGGAACTCATTGTCGTGGGCTACAGTCTGCTCACCATCATCTCGAGCCAAGGTGGGTTGCCGCATGCCAGACTGTCCCCTGGGGGGACTCAGGGCAGTAGTCAGGAGGGTCAATTCTGGGTACAGATGACTTGGAGGGTCGTGCTGGCCTACTCCCAAGATGGCCCTGTTGAACTGTCTTCAGCCAGGCTGTTCCAGATGTGGGTGGGATCCCTTCTGTCTGGATGTGCAACTTCTGTCTGTACAGACCACACCCCTCCACCCGCCTGCACAGGCACCAGCTGTGGGCAGGCACTGCAGCCGCACGGCCAAGCCTCTCCGCCCTTCTGAGAGGTTGGGGCAAATTATTGCTCATCCCCATTCACACAGCGCTGGGCAGCCTGGGGCCACAGGGAGGGAGGACATGGCCCCGTGATCCCAGGGCATGCCCTTACATGCCTCAGTTATTCAGTCCCTGCCACTGCAGCGGGAGCGGGGGTTCCAAGAGCTTAGGCGCAGGCACCGAGCTGTTCGGACGGACTGCAGTGCCAAAGGACGCCAGAGGAGGGAGGAAGGCTCAGGGAGGGCTTCCTGGAGGAGGTGCTCCTCATCCTGGCTGCTCACAGAATCGACTGCGGGGCAGCTGCAGAAGGCCGCGCTGTTTGAGCACATCCTGGAGCACCTGGATAGCTTCTTGGAGAGCAGGGACATCTGCATCACTGGCCTGGGCCTGCTCTGGGCCCTCCTGGTGGATGGTGAGAGGCCCCCATGACCACCAGCCTGCTCTGGGCCCTCCGGGTGGACGGTGAGAGGCCCCCATGACCGCCAGCCTGCTCTGGCTCCGGGTGGACGGTGAGAGGCCCCCATGACCGCCAGCCTGCTCTGGGCCCTCCGGGTGGACGGTGAGAGGCTCCCCATGCCCCACCCCATCACCTCTGAGAGGTTGGGGCCCTCCCCATCCTGTCCCTGAGAGCCTTACAGTAAAGCAGAAGGAACAGAAAGAAGGGGAAGGGGACACAGGCAGGCAGGGAGTCTGTCCCCGGCCGTGGGCAGAGCTGCGCAGATCCCCCTGCGCCTCCCGCCCTGGGGACGTGGCCGTGCTGCCCGGGGAAACCCTCGGCTCCTGCTCGCCCTGGGAAGCCCTGGGAGACCTGGTTTCAGTTAGCCTCGGCACGAATTCAGAAAAGGGGCTCCTGGCCCGTGCTGCCTGCCCTCCACTGGGCCCCAGCTGGCACTCCGCTGCCCAAGGGAGAGACAGCTTCCAGACCACGGGGAGCCCCAGAAAACGCAAAAGAGCCTTGCCAACCCCGAGCGCGGAAGTCCCGAGCCCCTCCGGGTGGATAAGCCCTGTCCTCAGACTCGCTGGCGGGCAGGAGTCCTGAGCACTCACCGGAGGACTCCTGGCCGCTCCCTGGAAGGCTTCTGCTGTTGTCCTTGTTTGGGGGTACGGGTGGGGGTGGGGGGGCGTATACAACAGGCAGTGCGCGTGTACAAGGTCTGGGCATCCCCCCCTCCATTGGCTCCAGCTGTCCTCGTGGACAAGACCCCCTTGGAGAAGGCCCCAGTGCTCGTGGCCCACGTCATGGCCACCTACTCCACGGACAGAGAGATGGCGGAAGCTGGCTGTGCTGTCTTGTGGCTGCTGTCGATGCTGGGTGAGGCCTGGGCTGAGAGCTGGGGGGGCGGGCCCAGGTCGGCCACGGGGTCGTGGCCGGCCACGGGGTCGCAGCCCTGAGGTGCCGGCCCCTCCCCCAGCAGGCTGCATCAAGGAGACCCAGCTGGAGCAGGTGACCGGGCTGTTCCTGCAGAGCATCCGACTGTGCCAGGACAGGGTCCTGCTGGTGAACAACGCCTACCGCGGGCTGGCCAGCCTCACCAAGGTGTCGGGTGAGGGCCGGCCCGGCCGCCGTGGGCAGGGGATGCACACAGATGAGACAGAGACGCAAAGTGGGAACATCGCAGCCATCCCGCAGTCCCTCCTCCAGAAATAGCTGAGACCTTTCTGTACACACGTTGGACAAACGGTCCTTCTTCCGCTCAGCGCTACACTGCACATCTCTCCCTGTCCATACACGCACACACGCGTTTTCCAGCACCCAGGGACAGCCTATGAAAATAGCCCCCGCTACTGAACAATGGGCGTGTCTCCAAATTCCCGCCACACCACAGACCACGGCTGTCTCTTACTAGGCCCACGCCCGGGCCACTCACAGTCACCCTTTTATAATAATAATATGTAATAACCCTTCACGGAGGGAAACATGGGGCTCAGGGCGTGGCAGGCAGAGGCTGCTGCTCCGGGGCGACGCCTCTGGCACCAGAGGAGGCCTGCCCCCAGTGTCCGGCCATCTCTGCTCCCTGGTTGTCTTGCTGCAGCCAGTGCTGGGCTGCATCCTGAGTCAGCCTGGGTTCCCGAGCTGACCGCGATCCTAGGCACAGCTGGGCTGGGATCCTGACTCCGCCTGCCCCTGCCCCCATACACCTGTGCCCCAAAGCTCCAGCCGAGTACCTGGGAAGGGTGGTTGGGGTGGCAGGCTGGGGAAGGCCAAGGAAGGGGAAGCTGAGCGGCCAGGCCTGGGTCCCTCAGACACGGCTGGGCCTGGAGGATCGTCCTCAGGGTGGGAGGCTCGTGGCAGATGGGGGTTTTCCCTCTGAGACAGACCCACAGTCCTGGGTGCAGGCCTGGCCCCGAGTCCCGCCTGCAGCTGCCCAAGGTCAGCAGCGCATGCGTATGGGACAGGAGGGGCGATGAGGGCCTGAGGGCAAGGGCCTGACTGAGTTTGGTTAGTCGCGGTTGCCGCTTGCTCGCTGGGACACTCAGTGTGTCCCCCTGGGGCTCAGTGTCCACTTTGGTAGAGGGGGGCAGGCAGGACCCGGTGCCCGGGAACACAGCCTGTGCTCGGGAAATCTGCAGGAGCCCAAGGCCAGTGACAGCTGACGGAACAGCTCCCCCTGCGTCGCTGTGCCCCGCCCCCCGCAGGCACACCTGGGGCAGTGCTGGGGATTTTGGAGGGCCCCATGGAGCCGGAGCCCTTTCCTACCTGGTCCCCCTTGGAAACAAGGCAGCAGCAGGCCCCTCCTTAGAAATGCCTCACAGCAGGGGAGGGAAAGCCTCAGGAAGAGGTCTATCCCCAGCACTTGGGGTGCCACTGTCGCCCATCTCCCCCTAGAGCTGGCGGCCTTCCAGGTGGTGATGCCCAAGGAGGGTGGCAGTGGCCTCGCGCTCTTGCAGGAGACGTACGAGCTCCACAAGGACGACCCTGAGGTGGTGGAGAACCTGTGCATACTGCTGTCCCACCTTGTCGTCTACAGTGAGCCCCTCCTGCCACCTCCCCTCCACAACGTCCGCCGAGCACCCCGTGCACCAGGCGCTGTCCCGGCCGAGGGGGCACGGACTCCACCACCCCATGCTCTGCCGCTCCCCCAACAAAGCCGGCGGCACCGCTAGCTTCGTCAGTCCTGCCGCCTCCCCAGGGCCCCATCCCGGGCAGCTTCTGAGTCCCAGGGTTCCCGCCCAAGCCTGGGAGCTGTGGGGGCTTCATGCTGGGTGGGGGGTCCGGGGTGGGAGCAAAGGGACTCACGAAGCCTCCCCCTCTGCCCACAGAGGACATCCTGCCAGAGCTGGTGTCCAACGGCATCACGCCCCTGGTCCAGGAGATCAAGGGACGCTTCACCTCCAGCTTGGTGAGTAGCCCAGCCCCAGCAGGCTCCCAGGAGGCTGATGCCCATGGCTGTGCAAGGCCAGGCCCCAAGTGGCCTGGAGCCCAGGGCCTGGATGAGAGGTTTATACAGAGCCGAGCTCGGTCTGGGCATACAGTGCTCAAGCGACTGTTTTCCTGGCTGCTATGATTTCAGGTGTACGACCACACCGAAATCAGTCCTACAGCGGAAGAGTAACCAGACCTTTGCCCCTGGGTGGTACAGTCAGATGCTTGGCTGCTCACCGAAAGAGGTTTGAGTCCACCCAGAGGTGCCTCAGAAGAAAGGCCTGGTGATCTGCTTCCAAAAAATCAGCCACTGAAAACCCCAAGGAGCACAGTTCTACTCTGACACATGTGGTCGTCATGAGTTGGAATCCACAGCAAAAGGCTTGGTTTTTAATCACATCTTTTCTAGGACTGTCCACAGCCACCTGGACTGTCAGGTGAACAACTTCTCGCCGACTTGCCTGTCTTCCTTTTCCAGGAGCTGGTTTCTTATGCGGAGGAGGTACTGCAGAGGCTGGAGGCCATGCCGCCCAGCTTCCCAGAGAGCAACCCGCTGTCTGCCCACGCTGAGCAGGCTGGCACCCCAAAGGCTCTGCTTCCGAACTCCAGCTCCGGATGACCATCCTGCCCTGAGGTGCCGGCCCTTCCTTTCCCGCACCCCCGCAGGAACGCTCGCCTTAGTGTCGGGGGGCGGGAGGGCTGCTCACCCCCACACCCAGTGCTCGCCCTGTGCTCACTCTGCTCGGATGGCTAATAAAGGCTGCGTGCCATCCCTGGCCTGTCCGTGTCATCCCTAGGGGAGGGCGCGGCGGACCAGAGGGGGCCTTTCTGCCATCTCTGCACAAAGCCCACCCCTGGCTGAAGCTGGGGGCAGCAATCTGGACTCACGGTCCTCTCAGACCTTCTCAGGCGGCAAGAACAGTGAACCGCAGACTGCACATGCTGGGTTGCAAAAGTACGAACATTTATTTTAAACAAGATCCTGGGGGTGCACCTGTCATGCAGCTGAACACAGCCTCTGGCTTCATTCGCTCCCATCAGCGCAACTTACTGCCCCAACCTGGTTCCCAGAGAGACCATCAGACCTGGGCTGGGCCCGGCGTGCCAGGCTGGGAAGGCTTGCACGCTGGCCGGGGGACGCACGGGGCCTTTGCAGCCTAGTCTGTGGCAGGCGGAGGCAGCCACGTCTAGGCAGCGCTGCCACCTGCTCAGGAAATCCCAGCATCTCCCGTCATCAAAACGTTCCTTCCCACAGTCTGGGGGTATGGCCACCTGAGCCAGTTTACGTCAGAGGGGGTTTAAACTTGGGAGGATGGGGTGGGAGGGGGTGAGGAAGGACACCTTCCCACGGAGGCAGCGTCTGTGCAGCCGACGCATCTGGGTGGCCTAATGGGGACACCTGGCCTGAGGCCCCCTCGAGTGCAGGCGGAGTTACTGACATCACCTGGATGATGGAGGAAAAGTAGCCTTAAGACCCAGCGGACCACTGTGTTTCCCGCCGTGGGACACTGTGGTGAATGGCCTGAGGGACCCGTGGAATCGGTGGTGACAGGTGAGAGGACTGACACTCCCCATCAGTCACGCCTCCGCCCCCTGCCGTGCCCAGGGCCAACAGGTGACCATCTCCCCAGCCCCGTCCTGCCCCCAGACACATCAGTGTGAACGAGATGAGTCCACACGGCAGAAGCGAGACATTCTTCCCAGAGCACGCACGCCGGGTCCTGCTGCCGCGTGTGAAAACATTCCAGAGCCACCTTGGCGGGGAGCCTGGGCCTGGCCCAGGGCTCCGCTCACAGTGCTGTTGCCGGGTCGAGGCGCTGCCACAGCACCGGGGCGGGGCCCGCTACGCGCGGCGGCTGTCTGGCACGGCGGCGGGCGCGTGCTTGTCTTTCACGGTGCTTTCCCACTCCTTCTTCGCCATCACGTAGAGTCTCATTGCTGCCTGGGCATCTTGAATCTAGGGACACGGGACAGGGCAACGATGGTGCCAGCAGGTGAGAAAGCATGGCCACAGGCCACACGGAGCTAACGCCACGTTCCTGAGCCCGACGCCAGATACCACACCGTGCTAGGGGGCACGGGCAGTGAGGGGCGCGGCTCCCCGAGACGTCCCCCGAGACGCGCGCAGTGCAGCGGGGAGTGGAGAGTGTCTAGCAGCCTGCACAAGTGCCTGACCCCGCCGCCATTCCGAAGCGGGCCCTCCTGCTCAGCAGGGAGGAAAGAGAATCCCAAACGGGCCAGGGCAAACGTGCTGCCCGTCCCGGGTCCTCGAGCACAAGCACCTACTGCGTGCAGAGGCCAAGATGGGCCGCCGAGCCCGATGGAGCCAGGAGCTGAAGGCCAGATGCAGGCTGGGGCCGTGGGGAGCAGTCCCCAGGCCCTTCAGAGGAGGGCGGGGGGACCAGCTGGGTGGGCTGCGCCCTCCTGAGCGGCTCTCACGTTAGACTAGTGACTCGTATTGCCGAAGAATTATGACGGGGTTTTCGCACTAAGTGTTCGTTACAACGCAGATACTTCAAATTCATCAATGCCTTGGAAGCCCGGTTTGCCATTTCTGTTGTCAGACAGGCAGCTTCCCCTGCCCCATCTCACCTCACCTCACACCTGTCTGTCAGGTGACGAGGCACCTTGCTGGGAGGTCAGGGGTGCCCCTACCCGAGGACACACTCACCCCCAGTGCTCCTGCTGCCCCCCCACCTGAGGACACACCCCCAGTGCTCCTGCTGCCCCCCGAGGACACACTCACCCCTAGTGCTCCTGCTGCCCCCCCCAGGACACACTCACCCCCAGTGCTCCTGCTGCCCCCCCAGGACACACTCACCCCCAGTGCTCCTGCTGCCCCCCCCAGGACACACTCACCCCCAGTGCTCCTGCTGCCCC